CATTTATTCTTTTAAGATTAAGCTGTATAAAATCAGAAATTATAAAACTAATTTTTATAGAAATATAGAAAATTAGAAACTATTTTCAATTACTGATGTTTATCATTAGGTTATTACCTTTATATATATTTTTATTAACATAACCTTATAATATACATTCACACAATAATGAAAATTATAAAGAGTAAATTATTTAAACAGTCAACATTTATTTTCATAATATTTCAATTAGTTACGTTATCATAATTATGCTGAATGCTAAATTAATGTGTTCTAAGATTTGCTATTCTGTTTTGTAGCTATATAGATATACTCGTATACTATCTATTTAAGATTATAAGGATCGTAAAAAAAGTATAATTTTCTGAATTATCTTTTGATTTTAATTGTGTACTATGGACATTGCCTCACCTATGCTAAAAACACCCAAAAAGTATGGAGCTGCATAGCTATAATAAATATGAATAATCCAATAGTAGTTATTGTCTTCAATTGCTGTATAATTTATAACTGAAAGTTACCGACCGAATTGACTTACATTTATAACTCTTATACTTTCAAGTTTAAACTGTATAAAATTGAAAATTGTAATTTGTATAAAATTATAGAAAATTTGACTATTTTTAAGTATTTTAAATCATGGATGTTTACCTTTATATGTTTATTAACATCATTTTAAATAGCCCACACAATAATGTACATTAATAGAGTTAGTTATTTAAATTTTGAACAGTCAAGTGTCAACATTTATTTTTCATAATATTTCTATAGGTTACGTGAAACAATATTGATCTGAATGCTATAATAATGCGTTCAAAGTTTTTCTATACTGTTTTGTAGCTATATCTTTGAATGCCTATACTCGTATATAATCCATTAAAATATTTAAAAAATGTATAATTTGCCAAATTTATTATGTTTTGATTATTTTGATTTTATAATATGGACATTGCCTTACCTGTACTAAAAAACGCCCACAAGGGTGTAGCTTGTGTAGCTATAATAATTATGAATAATCCAATATGACGAGTGCCCAACATTGTTAAGATAATTCAAACACCACGAGCAACAACAATCTACAGGAGTACAGGAGTAAAAAACAACTTGACCGGTTGTGTGAACGTTGTGTGTGTGCGGAATACTGGACAATTTAGTTACGAACGTCCGTGATTATATTCTGTCCACTTGAGTACAGGATATTCAATTAAATGTGATCAGAGTAACTCAGAATGTCGTCCTTGGGAATCATAATATATTTTTTATTTATTTTCACCATTGACTGCATTGTCTTCATTGTCTTCAGATCAGAGATTTCCAACTCGAGACACTTACTTGTAGATATTACTGGATAATTTTGGAAGCGTGTACGATATTAAAAATGCAAACACATCATAAATTGTTTTTCATTGTAATACGATGGATAGAATATATAATTGAGGTCGTGGTATTAAATATTAAGATATTTTAAGCGGGAGTTGTGAATTCGAACCAAAATAATATTGTGTTTTAATAAATGCATCTATTGGTAATTCAGGTAATTGATATTGGTATTACACTTTTTTTGAATTCGACATAAGTTGAATGATTGAAATAAAATAACAAGATCAAGTCTATTTGATTTATTTAAGAGACTTTATTGACTTTTGGAGAATTTTCTCGAAGTAAAAGTATTTAAATTAGTTTTAGCTGTGTTCGTTTATATGATAAAATGTCACATCACTATTATGACTCGAAATTCAAAAGTATAAGTATTTATTAAACAAAAAAAAATTACAAATAAGACAGCTGAAAGATAGTGGAATGATATTTTTTAATTGAAAGAGTTAGAACGAATTTATTTTTGTATGGTAGCTGTACAATGTTGCATAATATTCATGTCTTTACCAGTTAATTTAGACTTCTCATTAAATAGTGGCCTTGCGACGCGCTGTGTTATTTTTTGTTGTTGTTTAGATACTTGATAATCTTTTTAGTGATATTATTTCAATTATACAAGTCATGTCATCTTTTTCGTTGAGTTTTATTTTGATATTAATTAGTGCATTGTAATTTACAAGGTATCATAATAACAGTTATAGTTGTGGCATAAACTCCCCAGTCTTTGTGGCCGAGCTTATATGGCCATTGTATTTTATACAATACGTCAATACACACTAATTATAAGCATCCAGACTATGTTTTAGTTATTTAAATTATTTAAAATAAATTTTATATGAATAACATCAAATATAAATTTATATAATGTAGGTATTGTATTTTTTTATGATATTGCAACATTTCAAACATTTTGTTGGTTATATTTTTCACACACTTGCTTAAAGATAATAAGAAGTAATTGTTATTTCTAAGTGTAATAACTGTGTTTGAATGTGTATTATATTAGATTATTGTTAACCAACTTTTTTTTATTCTACACTCCCTTGTACATTTTCAAAAACGTTATACCTTCTTCATCACTTACATTTTCTTTTAAGTTAATGAAGTTTTTTTGTTGGTTATCATCAAAATCAGTTATATGAGATAAATTACAAAATAGGTATAAATAGCCGTATAATTAGGAATAACTTATTGTTATTGCGAAGATCTTAAATTTGCTCATTTTATTATATTTTATTCTCACGATTTTGCATCACAACATTACTTTTCATCCACCCATACAGTACCTCAATTCCTCCCTGTATTAAATAGTATTGTTATGGTCAAAAGCGCTATACACTCACTATTCGATACGTCAATTCACGACTTATGAAAATAGTCCTTTTTAGGATAGTAAATACAAAACTAACTCCAGACCAGCAGAAGGTAGGTAGCCTAATCACTAACACCTCGCATGATTGGTCACATCACGAGAAAAACCCTCTCCCACTGATCTTCTAAACAGTCGGGAAGACCAAAATAACAAATAGAGTTACAAGGTATCATCCATTCATAACGACACACCATAATATTACAAAGTCCCAGCGAAAAATGCAATTCTCTATTATCATAATAAAAAACTGGTGATTCGTCCGACCAACGAACACCAGTTGTTATTATAGTTAATGCGAATACGGTCGTCGGTTTCAATACGGATTGTATACTGGCTCATTTCAGAATTGAAATTTTACAGAAGTTCACTTACAGTGCATTTCAAATTTAAATTCTGTGAAGATTCATTCCATATTATATATTTTGTGTATTTTGATAGGTACCTATAATACAATTATGTAATGTGTTAGTGTTAGAATTTAATGTTATAATCTATTATAGAATTATCTCTAATACCTAAATAAAATCATACTGTTTTATTCAAATGTATTACTAAACTAAACGATACCTACTGTCCTATTCTAAGCCCTTCCTAAGGTGCTGTTATCATGTGGTTATTTATATGTACTATATATTACTGTCATTTATCTCCCTTGAGATTTTAAACATATTATATAATATTATACTTAATTTCTAAGCTTCATTTCATAGCCAGATAGCCTACTTTGATACACCAAATAAAATAAAATTCTCTACAATTATTAAATTGAATATTAAAATTAATTATTTCGATCAGAGAGTCGATTATTATTATTCACGTAATGTTGGCCTTGTGTTTTATTTAAACACTAATTAATGATTGGAATGTTTGAAAATATAGTTGGTAATACAAGAAAGTTTTGTTTAAATAATTAAAAAAGTAAGAAAAATCATAATTAAAAAAGTTGTATAACTTTTAAAGATTTATGGAATTAAGAGGCGTTACTAAAATACATTTTAAATTCTTTGGTTAAACTAAAGTATTTATGTTAAAATAATACATAACATAGCTTATAATAACCATATAAAATAAACTGTATAGCTTGGCGTGACGCGATGTCTACATTCAATTGGGTATGAGCTATGCGTGTATGGCACCGGCTGGTGTTACTAGTTTCCTTATGGGTGACCATCCTAGAGTTTTAGTAAGAAATCCTTGCCACACATACGTACTTACCTTAATTCTAATAAAAAACAAAGAAAACTAACTATTATTGAGCTGTCGTTTTTATTTGTATTTTAGAATGAAGAGGTAGTGTAATTATTCCATTGCAAGGCAATATAATTAATATAATTCCCCATTAATTGTCTAATTATGTTTATTATTTGTTAGACACTTCTACTTAATGCAATGATTTTTAGTTAAAACATATTTATATAGGTAATTTTAATTTTCAAGCATAATTTAAAATATGTAAATTAAGTTTGGAGAGTATTGCTATTCAAATTAAATTCTTGTTCATAACATACTATTCATATTATATTATTATCTTTATATATTTTTTTATATAAATCCGGAGTTATATAGTTCAAGATACTAAATACTGTATGAAATAGGTGTTTGGAAAACGATAACAGTTGAGACTTGAGGAAGAGACCAGAGTATACGCACTGGGTACCTTTGTTTTATTTACTTGGTGTCTGGATATTGATTAAATATAGGAATGCACTGACTTTACTGAGGTTATGCATTAATGTAGTAATGCGTAAACAATATTTGGTGATTTTAAATATGGACATTAATTAAAAGCTTATAAGTTATGATGTAGATTCAGTGTGCACCAGCAATGGTGGTAGTATACAAACTATTTGAATCATTCTTAACTGTAAAGCATACAATTGTTATAATAATATAAACATGACGAAAAAAAGATTGATATTTTTAAACGTAATTAAAACAGAAAACGATTTAAACAAAAAAAATAAAATAAAATACCGGAAAACAACAAATAAAGGCTAACAATATATATGAAATACCGACGAATTAATAAAAAAAAACAACTTAACATTAAATCATTAAATAATTAATGCCAATTTATATGTATCATAAAAATAAAATGTATATTTCTATTTATACATTGTTCAAGTTACATTGTTAATTGTTATTAGTTGATATAACCATCATGAGATTTGATTTACAAATCGTATTATAATTCTTCTGAAAATAACAATGAAATACTATATAGACATATCTGGAGATGTATTACAACTTACGAGGTCTCTACTCGAACGTCTGGAGCATATATTTTCAAGTTCGTACATATCAGGCCCAATTGTAATAACTAAATGTTATTGTACTTTAATTCCTCTAAATTGTATAGGTACTATTGTAAACGATAAAAAACTCAAAAATATAATATTATTTTCATCAACTAAAACACAAAGCGAGATAGAAGAATAACATAAATAATTGAAAATATAATAAAACATATTTTATCAATTATTTTAGCAAATATCTGTCTTTTGTTAAACTCTATATATTGTAAATCTATTTCTTTGTCTTCGTTTTGAATTCGGTTGCTCGACGATGGTTCCTGTGAAGATCAAACAAAATTTGTTTTTATGAAAATTTAATCAGTCATTATCATTTACATTGTACACACACACATACACGCACACACAATGGTATTATGTTTGTAGTAATTATAGTGTCTTACGTTCACTTCCATTGCCAGGAATTCCATAAATTTGGATTGAACGATGCTTGAAATTGGTTTTGAGAGTGGTTTCCGTATTATTGTCATATTTTTTACCACCACTGATATTATAGCTGTCAAAACTATCAGTGCCAGACTGTACGTGTAGTATAAAGCTATAGTAAATAAGACAGACATTTTTTTTACTATTATACCAAACGCAATTTAATTTTTCAACGAGTTACAATCACATTTCTTTCTCGAGAAAGTATTTCCATTTACAACTGGAATGTTGACAAAATAATGCAACGTTGACTTTATACTTACATATTAATGGGACTGTGGATAGTATCAGAGGTATTTTCGAGTACAGAATCTGTAGAACGACGACAACAATTAAAGCGTTGAATAGGCTTATTATCAGTTTGTATCTGTAGTCATCTAGCGAAAGCCAAAACACTAGTAGATTCAATAGAGCTGTACCTGTGTGTGCGAGAAAACAAACTGATAATAATAATGTGGGTACATCCTAAACAATTTTTACGCAGGTAGGTTCCTGTTTACGCATTAAAATATAATATTCATATTCAAGGTAACGAAAATATAGCCATATAGGTGATGTGCATGCACGTAGTTGAGACGATGGCGTAACAGTGTACCGAATAGGATAGGTAATAAAGTTTACGGGTATTGCCAATAATATACTTATTCGGTAATAAGTAATAACTTTAAATTTGTATTATATTATTGTCACCCCGCAGGAGTCAACATGCGTTGGTTTTTATGAGAAAAAAAATACACTTGCATAAGGCCGGTACGAAAACCACCGGATGATAGGTATTGGAGTTACGATGGACGGTGATGTTGTACTCGACGTGGCTGTATGGATCGTTAGGGCAGCACGAATAGAGTTTTGTAATTTTCTCGCTGGAAATTCGTAATATCTGCCATTCCGATTGAGGTGAATGGATTTCGATCTAAACAAAAAGAAAACAAACCAGCATTTTTGATCTGTTCTTGCATTGATTTGGGCGCCGCGCGCCGTCTGCAGGGTTTCTAAATTTGGAAAATTATCGAGCGAAAGACCTCGTGCGCGGTGTCCGTCATATTTATCGAGTTCGTGCTGTACACCCACGATCCGATTTTTAACATTCCGGTCTGCGTATCGTAAGGCCAATGGGTCATGTCAGCTCTACAGTATATCCTGTATTGCACGGGCTGTACCCACAAGACGTCTCCAGTGTTGAACACGATGCTCCGGGTGTTTCCGTCCACTATGGTGTTGGCCTCAATACTGGAACCATAATATAATAATATGGCAATGAAAAAACAAGGTGATTTTGTCCCACCATCGTATAAATGTGATTACGAGTGGGTTATTGGCAGGTATAATATTATTATAATCTTTTGGTTTTGTGAAATTTATTTGCCCATTTTTAAAAAAACCTGGACAAGTAAATGATAATTTTTGATTGAGTTAAGTTAAGTTGATGGAAAACATTTTAAAAAGTTTAAAGTTAATAGTTATAGTAACTTTTTTCAAACCCAGTTAAGTTAACTTACAATTAACTTACTAACATGCTGAATTTGTTTAAAAAATATATATTAATAGTTAGTTATATGATTTATAAAAAGTAAATGTTTATACAATATGCATCATCAGTGACAATTTCATTATATTTATTATTTAATTATTTATAAATCAACATAAATTGGATTTAATTAAAAAAAACTCGTTATAGCTTATATAAGCGTATATCAATGAAATTCGTTAAATTAAAAATTAAATTTCATAGTTAAAATTAACTTAACATTAAATTTTTATTCGTTTGAACCCAAGATTGCATTTTATACAATCTATATAATATTTATAGAAAATAATAACTATGAATAAATCATGCATTTTTTTTAAGTAGGCACGTATAAACAACGTAGTAAAACGTTTACTTGTTCGATGCTGTTTTCCAGTATATGGTATAAGGATAGTTGTGTGTGTAAATTATTGTGTTTTTCCATATCGTTTATTGTTTTATTAGTAGGTAGAGTCCTGGTACCAACGGGTGAATGTTCGTACAAAATGTTTGGAAATAAAAAAAGGTTATTTAAATATTGAATTTGTAAAAATTATTTTAAGTTTAAAGTAATTTTTTCATAGGAACTCATAATTCTTATATTTTTTTAGAAATTATCACTGGATTTTCGCATACTTTTTTGGATAGTCTAATTTTAATATCGGACTGGCTCTAATAAGCCCTCCAAGCCCAGCTCCCAAATTGTGCCTACATATATGGTGCAAATTTAAGTAATCTTTAGTGCTGTAAAATCCGAGCTGTTTATTGGATATTTGGACATATTATACTTGTTGTAGGCCATGAGGTCTGGATGCCAAATTTCGAAGTGTTCGAAAGTGATGTAATTGACTTGATCGTAATCGTTCGGGTTCCATGTCAGTCGATCGTCAATCCACGTCTGCAGAACAGAGTGCATTACTTCACTGATTATACATCCGAGTTTCGGGATGATAAACATAATATAAATTAGAGCTATGAGCTTCATAAAACCTAACATTATAAGTTATAACATAATACCTCTATCCCTCATTAAAGGTGTCATGATAAGCTACTTACCACTTTTAACCAGGCGTAAATGATCATATGAGACGATTCGTAATTCTGTGAAATTTCAACCAAAATCAAAACTGTATTAGTTAGGTACAGTTTTGGGAGAATAACTGTATGTACACTTAAGTATGAACTTAACCAATTCCACGCTGTTGAATACAGTGTTAACTTTCATGGGAACGCGTTTTTTACTTGTAGCGGGCACTACTACTTTATCGTAATTTTTTAACAGCTGTTTTCTCAACTCGTGTCCAGCCGTGATGTTTTCGTCTGGTAGTCTTGAGTTAGCTGTTGATCATATTTTATTAGAGACATCATAATTATTATTATAATGAAGTTATTTATGTACATTGTCCGCAAAAAGTTTTTAAACCTTTTTTAAATTGAAATTTATGATGTGAATTAAAGTAATATTTTATTTTCTTGGGCACAAATAGGGTTCAAGTTAAGAATAAGTTTTTGATTGTTAAAAATCTAATATTCAGTGAATATTGCTCTAACATTTAACCGATACTTGCACTGTATGCGATACTTGTTTCGGGATTCAATTTCTCTAAATTTAATGATTCTCTACTTAAAATTTGTCTGAATTATAATGTTATACAGCCTGTAATAGAAGCGCTCGATGAAGGTCTATTGTAGCGGATTTATACTGTTCCAATTTTTACGAATAAATTAAAGAAATTTCAAATCAAAATGATTCCTATGCATAATATTATTATTTGATAAGACTTTGCGTCCAGCGAAATCGTGGTAGGTCGCGCTTGGACGACGATCGTTAAATTTTTTCCCTGATAAAAGTCTCCATTTGAAAATATTTTAAAAACCTTCGGCGAGTTTACTCTGTCCAGCGAGATGACACTCCGATTCAACACATCCCCTGCCACCGAGATCGATTTCACTGCAGGCTGTGTCGCATGCAGGGGATCTGCAAAAGAACCGATTTTCGTCTAGCTGCGTCGTGTCTCTCGTCGGACAGACTATAATTTAGTCGTGGGTATGATTGTTGGCATTTTTTCGACCTCAGCTACAGTACATCGGACTGAGCTGAGACTGACGTAACGGCCGAACACACCAAATCGCACACCACTTGGACAAATTTAACTCATCGGTCGTGTGCCGCATTTTTTTAGTTTTCCGAAAGTCTATAACGCAGTGCAATATAATTTTATAATGTTTTTTATTTTGTTGATTTACTTGTGTCACCGGCCGCACAGTACCCGGCCAAAAAGATCAGGAACAATCCCGACCGTAGACCGTCCATCGTGATGTCTGGTGGCAATATTGGCACTAGAAACAGTGACGGAAAATACTCGGTGGACCTTATTCAACGGTGTCGAACCTGCAAAATGATCTTGAAATGAGGTACAGCGTTCAGATTTATAAGCTAGTCTACTATAGACGTTTTGTACATAAATCTAAATTATTAAATTCGAACACAGGATATTGTACATATCATACCTATTGTACTTATATAAATATAATATGTATTTCAATTAAACCCAATCATCGTAAAAGTTCGTGTACGCACTCGTTGATTTTTTTATTTTTATTAGACATGCAGATATGCATATTATTGTGTCTGATAATAGTATGTAGTGATTCTGCTATACACAATATAATATCTGTGCCAGCATAACTAACAATAAGTCTATCATAATATGATAATGTGCGTAGGCATGTCCCATTTGTGTTGACTTGCGCGATAGACATGCAGTGGCAAACATTTGTATTTAACCCAATGGTCGGGATGCTACTGTTTTTTTGTAGCGTAGCATGTTAACGCTGCAGCTACTCCCCCCAGAAAAGTAGCTTGGTATCCCTATATCTACTTTCTTAAAAAAATTTAGTGCTTTGCTTCTAAATTTATTGTTTAAAATATTTAACGCTCTACTTTTACCCTAAATTTTTTTAGGAAGTACTAATTGAAAATCGGTTGTTTGAAAATTGTATACTTGGTCATTGGACTGGATTTAACTACGCGGGTTGATCGAAAATTAAACCAAAAAACATTGACAAATATATGCATTATAATATTACATTCGAATTTTTTAATTTGTAAAAAAAATATTTTATTAAAATATAATTATTTGTCCCTATTCTAAGATGCATTGTCTCATTATCTGCTATGACTCTTTTTCATTGAATATAAAGTCGTGTTAAATTCACCGGGAAACAATGAAAACATTTCTTGTACGTAATTCGAGCATAATATATATGGATTGTTGAAATATCGGTAAAATCATATACTTCACCGTTGACCAATAGGCCAACCTCATGAAATAATAGTTTTTTTTTTATTAATTTCATTTCAATTTTACTTCATAATTACTCAAGTATAACTGCCTCCAAAACAAACGAAATTATCGTTTGTACCTATGTATATATACGTATACATACAAAATATGTCCAATAATAATTGTACGTATATATACTGTTTATTTTTTATATTGCTATCAATTCATATAGTATCTACATATATAGTATTCAATTACTGTTGAATGTTCAAATAGAATGTTGTTGCATACGTCTTGTATATAATATACGTTCCAAATTTCAATATGACTTAATCATTTTGTTTTCATCATCATTCCCATGTACGATGTAACCCCGGGCGAATAAAATTGTATACTTACTTTATTGTCCACGGTCACATCAGCTGCGTGGTACGTATACTATATTACTATACATACGTACATACTAGTACTATAGTATGTATACAGTTTACCGTATCGGTATGCATAATTAATGAAGATATTTTTACTATGACTGCCGCAATAGTTTATAGCTAAAGGGTTTGCTTACGTGTATGGTCTGAAAGAAATTGCGCTGATGTTCAACATAAATTTGATATGCTGATACGGTGGGTATACATGACACTTTAGACTTTTTCATCACAATCTTCGTACGAATTACTTTTTACACCGATATGTTCACAGACCACTGAATGCATTTTCTCGAGATATGTGAGAAGGAGCTGCAAGCGTAAGTCTCCTTGGTTCTCTTGTCTAAGCCACTGACATACATACTGAACGTCAATACTTAAAACTATGGTCCACCAAAAGTGGAAGTCCGAACATCGCACATACCTTATTGCAGGCCACGAAATACGCTATAATATATTGTTCCTTTGAAAACTTGTCATATTAAATACCTATTCAGGAGCTTATCGGGCCCGAGGGTGAAACTTTATGAAGGGGCCCCTTAAACTAACCAGGGATAATAATTATTGAACTCGATTATTGAGGACCCCTTGGGCCTCAATGTGGGTGGCAGTGCCTATACACTTTTGCGACTCTGTGGACAACATATTTTGTCAAATCTGCTGGTACCTATAGGTATTAATTGAAAAATTTTGCCCAAATAGACTTTCGTGTAATATGCATAATAAAGTAATTATTTCGTTATATATAATACAATCACGAACTGATTTAAGCAAAGTATTAATTAAAATAAATATTTCATAACCTAAGTAGTTTTTATATTTAAAACTAAATTATAACATTATAAAAACAGCTGATAAGACGCTAACTTAATTATTTAACCACGTTACTTTCGAAGAATTTTTTCAGGTTGTAAAATATGAAGCACTTATACAGATATTATAATACTATCCATACAAATTATAAATTATAATCAAACTAAATTTTACATTGAACATAAAATTTGACTATTAATATTAGGATCTAATGTAATAAACAAGTTTTTTTAATTCTAAATATTTTGTTGGTTGTTTCAAATTTGTTATAACCACAATTTTGTGCATACAAATAGACAATTCTGCGTACGATATGTACTAACCTTGAATGATAATAATTATTATTTTTCAAATCACTTAAACAATAGTTTTCAATTAATCACTGATTCATTTTTAAATTATGATACATATTTATTTAGTTTAAATGTTGGTAAAAAAAATATTACTATCAACACGATATTGGAAGATTCTTGAAAAAAATGTAAATTTTTTAAATTGACCGGAACTCATAACAGAGCATCATTATTATGATATGCTAGCCTTTTTTGTGTCTTCATAGGTTGTGTTATCTTTTCGAGTAGTAAAAATGTTTCAATCTTCAACTTTGAAGCTGGTTTCTAGTAACAAATTGGATTTAGTTGGTACTTTGGGGGTTAAAAATACCAGGAATATTTACTCAATACCAGTTTTCATAAGTTATAATTGTAAGTAAAAATTCATGAAAATTCAATATAAATTTCCTATAACAATATTAATGCAGTAACCAAAACATATTGAAAACACATACCCAAGAACAGTTTTATTAGAAGCTCGATAAAGATATTTTCGTTTGGTATTTAATGAGTTGCGAATCATTGATATTTATTATTTAGTATTATTTACCCAATACCATCCGTAGGTATTATAATTTATAAGTACTTATCTATTTATACTTTAAAGTTGAAATGATTGTAGTTTTTTTCACATCTCTGATTGTAACCAAATCTTAAGTGGTAGCCGGTAGGTATACATTAATTAAATATAATTTAGGTATTACGCGGGCTTGGAATCAAAGAGTTCTATATCAAAAAATTTCAAAAATGGTTTTTTTATCTGTTCAGTCAAGATTTATTTTTCTCTATCTTTTAGTCTTAGAAAAAATTTAATCGATCCCATATTTAAAAAGTTACCAGAAACAAAAGGTTCTATGTGACCCTTATCCAAACAACGTCTTGGATACATCGATAGAACATTTTGTTTTTAAATGTATATTTGAAACAAAAAGTGTTATCTAA